CTTCCTGCATTCATAACTACAATCTGAAAACATCCACAAAAAAAACATTATAAATCATACAAGGATAAGATATAATATCTGCACAAGGCTTACTGTTGTTCCATGTACAATGCCTTGTGGCCCAATRTAGCAGTAACTGCCTGCAGTCATCTGTCCATACATTGTAACTCCTAAAGCAAACAGCCTGTCATATTGCTCAGTTGTAGAGTAGTGGGGAATCATCTATGAAAATAAACATGCATATTCATGAATTAATTCATTGGCTGATTGAATGAGAAAATGAATGAATGAAAGAAAAAATGAGAAAGTCAACAACCTACCATTCCATTTGATATCACTACTCTTGGAGAACTAGGAAGACTTGGAAATAACCCCAATGGGTGACCTGAATTCATGACTAATGTTTGCTCCTCTGTCATCTCAGACAAGTAGTTCATCACAATCCAGAACTGTCAAAAGGATGAAAGAAAATACATGTAGCCTGTGTAAATTATTTCCTAGCCTCCTTTTCAGGCTACTCCAACAGAAATGGACATTTTTCTCTTCTTGGTCTTCCTGTGTTCATCTTGACCGAGAATAACTGGTGTCGAGAGATTAGGAGCAACGAATATCCTAATCCCCTCCCCATCAGGCAGCTTTTTTGCATTAACACAGGAATCCCCCAGAGTAGAGTTGCCTGAGAAGGAGGCTAATTTTTTCCCAGCCTTCCTCCCTATAGAGGAACTCTTTTACAATTTTCCCCATGAAGGGAGGGGTTGGGAGCTGATCTTTACACACTAAGATAAACAGACTGATTCATTATATTTATATGCATTAAAAAGACTTTATTTAATGCCACTCACCTGTGCCCAGTTACTAAACACCTGTCCATTTCCTCCATATGTAATAAGTTCATGAGGAAACTATCAATATAAAATAGCATTAATAGTTATTAATCTGGATATAAAATGAAATAGCGAACTACTGACCTGAGCTACACGTGGATCAAGATTGTTCATAATCATATGCATGATAGCTGCTGCTTGGCGAGAGTTTGCTGGGTACTCGTCTATTGGGTATGCTCTACAAACAACACAATAATTGTATATTTTTATCATTATAATAAAGTCAAGAAAATGTGATTTGAGTTGCCTCTGGTGTTGGATTAGAGTGTTTTTCATAAAGCCATGAAACAAAGTGTAATAATGAGAGTGTTATAGATCATAATAGTCGAGTAGAGACAATAACAAACAAAAGAGCCAAAGTGTAATAGTGATAAATACACTAAAGTGTGTTTCACGGGTTAATGAAAACCACTCTGTCTATTGTACAATAATTTGATTGTTTTCAAATTTCATGGTATAAACATTATCATTACCACTAGTTTAGTTTTCTTTTGCAAATTTATTAAAGACAAGTTATCAAGAACGAATAAGTAAGGTCACATGATAGGGTAATAAAAAGAACATGGCCAACAGCCTTTTTCCTTTTGAATCTCAAGGAATTGATTGGCAACCAGCAATCTGCATGCACTGTTTCTATGCCAAAATACCAGAGATACATGATGCCAGATATCTGTCACAAAGTTGTCAACAGGTGCACTAAAATAGTCATTACCTCATATGCAAATCAGGTCTAAARCGATACATGTAAATATGACCATACTCTCGTAACTCTTCTGCAAACTCTGGGGCAAGTRCTTCATGCGTCWCTGGTGGAAAGTACCGCAGTGCATTTTGTAATGCAAGCTAAACAAAACAAAAATACACTCACATACTGTGGATAATACYRKCAMTYGMGCAACACAAWTWACTCATTAATATTTAAACCGGCTGAATAGCAAAAACTGAATAAACAAATAATAGTTAATATACCAAGTACAAGTATTGAAAGTTATTGTTTATATACTTCTTAAGGTCAATAAACTGGCTAGAAACTGTCAACAAAACAAGGAAAATGAAATTATTATTAGTTTACAAACTGTACAACTATTCAAGTCAGCTGTTTTTTCACTCCTTCACTATTCCGCTCTCATTCATTGCTTCAGTGATGACAATGAAGTTTCACAGTAAATAATTATTCCCTTTTTGTCGAGTTTTTTTTTATTTACTATAGCAAAATCTCAAGTTCAAATTAGTGAAAATATTAGTCTATAATAACCCGCAAAACCGAAGTCCCGACGTGTGTTGTTGCATCAACTTTAATAAGTCAAGATTCAGCACAAGACGGAGACAACATAAAATTTTACTCACTTGTTCTTCTCGTTCTGTTAGTCTTGTAGCCCTGACTGGTGCATGAGGAACACAGTTATCTCTTTGCCTTGGCTCTGGTAAAGGATCAACAGGCAGACCACGACAAACATCCTTCAAAGACGCCATTTTGAAAATGATATAATCAAGTGACACGTGCTGATATTCCAAATATAGCGCGCCAGAGTTCAAATTTTTGTACCGGGGGAGGGGTAAAGATAAAGATAAAGATATCACTGATAAAAATTGGGTCAGAAATCAAAGTAAATTCATCTTAAATGCATATCTATGACATTTAATGCCATTTCTTGAGATAAGAATTTTATTTTTAATTCATTGTGGTAAAAAAAAATCTCAAAAACGATAGATACTTTCATGACAATGTCCCCCTCCCCGTGACGAAACTTGTGGGCGTATAGGGGGCGTGATAATTGGCCACAGGAAGCCCAATACCAAGTTTGGATTGCATAACAAGTCCGACGTATTTCGTTTATTATTTAGTTTCTCACTATTTCAAAAGCTTGTTTTGAAAAACTTGCTTTTGTTCACTTTCTTACTGTTTTTTTTTATCATTTACTCAATCTTAAAATCTATTTAGAAAAAGCACAAATTGATCATTTTATGAAAGAAAAAATTATTTTATTCAAGACATTTATAAAACCCAGATCATTGTCATTATTTTTTCTTTTGTCATTACATTTTTCCCACTTATCTGAAAAAGTAAAAATTCACTGATTTTACCATGACAGTGAGGACTCTGCATGACGACTGAAAAAAAATACCATTAAATCCCTAATAAAGATTAACACATTCATTTAAATACTAACTACTGGTCACATCAATTAAAAATATTACTATAATCCCTCATTGACTGCCACAATGTCAACCTGTTTCATCCCACAGTTCCAAAGCTATTCTTGTATTCCCCCCATGCAGACATATTTCAGTTCCAAGTATTCATCAATTCCATGTGGACCCCCTTCACTTCCAAGACCTGATTGTTTCCAGCCTCCAAAAGGAATTATCTCACTTGAGATGAGACCCTCGTTCACTCCAACTAAACCAACCTCCATAGCCTCAGCAACTCGCCAGATTTGACTATGGTCTTGCGAATAGAAATACCCTAWAAATTGAAATGCAGGCACAGTAAAAAACTATTTTAAAACATATCTTTTAAGAACACATACAGTTTTAAATATCACATTATTTTTCTCGCTTACCAGCAAGCCCACTTGTTGTYGAGTTAGCAATAGCAACAGCTTCTTCCTCAGTCTTGAATCTACCCAAGAGTATAGAAATCAGATAATACGAGCTAATCAACAATTTACCAAGAATAGAAATACCAGATAATCTATCACATCGTGAATATGAGTCAATCATAACAAGCCAAGAATAGCACACTCTTTTAGAACAATCAAAAACCTATATAAAATGTATATTCTTTGCCCTTTTCTTYTGCAGCTAAAGAATTACTGTAATACATGTCATATAATATATAAAAGTTACCTAATGAGAGGTGCCACAGGACCAAATGTCTCCTCTTTRCATACYAACATGTCAGTGTTAACATCAGCKAGWACAGTTGGTTCAAAAAATGTCTGACCAAGTGAATGACGATGACCTCCACGCAGAAGTTTAGCACCTTTTGAAAGYGCATCTGCCACATGTCTCTCAACCTTTTCYACAGCTTTTTCATTGATGAGAGGTCCCTGTGTACTGCCTTGCTCTAGACCATTGCCAACTTTCAATTCTTTATCAACACACTCTACAAGRCGCTTGGAAAACTCRTCATAGATTTCATCTTGGACAAGAATTCGGTTAGAGCAAATGCAAGTCTAGGAGGAAAAAACAATTACGAACAAGGATTGTTCACRTGTGATTTTCAATTTYTATTAATTCTAGATCCTTTTCTTTCATAGTTAAGTATTTCATCATCTTTTCTGACTTTGGATTACAAGGGCTACCTTGACTGTCATATTTCATTACCTGTGCTGTATGTCTGTATTTACTAGCCATTGCACCTTGYACAGCTTTGTCTAWATYAGCAGAYTTGAACACAATGAAAGCAGCATTYCCACCCAACTCTAGAGACATCTTCTTRACKGTGTCAACACTTTTAGCCATGAGAATCTAACAAGAGAAGAAAAGGAAGTTGGAATGGAGCTAATTGTAATGAGCTTTGTTAGTCACCACTATCATCATCATTAATCATCATCATAATTACCTTTCCAGTAGCAGTAGATCCAGTAAAWGACATCTTTGATACCATGTCACTCTTTAGTACTGTATCAGTCACTATGTTGACATGGTCACGTGAACATGGTAAAGTGTTGATGACTCCTGGAGGAAAACCAGCCTCTTCTGCAAGCTGGTAAAAGAAAATAAACACTATTAAATTACCTATTAATTGGTCCTTTTTCTTAATTTATTCCAAAGGGAGCCCAAGAAGTACATACCTGCTGTAAAGCTAATGCACTGTAGGGGGTTTCTTCTGATGGTTTTATGATCACTGTGCACCCTGCTGCTAATGCTGCTGCTGCCTTCCTGGTGATCATACCAAGTGGGAAGTTCCACTACAAATTGAAGGATAAAAGAAAGGAAAAAAAATGAAAAGAAGGACGAGAGGAGAGAAAAAATGAAGATGAATGGAATATTTTCAAAATTTGTGTCTTGGACTGAAACCTCTTTAGAAATGGATGCTAGAGTTGTTTATAATTAACCTATGAAATAAGTTTTTGGTTGGTAGCAGAATTTGCTGTGAATGTGTTTGTTTCAACCTTACACAGATAATTTACACAGATAACTTACACAGATACCTTACACAGATACTTTACAGATACAATTACTTGGTGTTTCACAGATAATTTGTAACATTCTCTAATAATACATGTATCTCCAGTATTTATTTTATCTTACTGGGGTCCAAAGAGCAGCAACTCCAACTGGCTGTTTYATCACAAGAAGTCTCCGTCCATGTAAATTTGTTGGAATAATTTCACCATAGATTCTCTTGGCTTCTTCAGCAAACCATTCAGCAAATGATGCACAGTATTTCACCTCTCCTTGGGCTTCTACTAATGGTTTTCCCTGTAAACAAGCACAAATAATTTAAATTTTCAACATCTTTTGTTTGCACTGCTGACCAAGTTGTGTGCAGCTAAAAAGTATGAAAATTGGCAAGTATAATTTTGTATCCTCCTTGGCTATTGCCAGTATCAATTCTTCTATCTTCCAGTTTCCACAGTATTAATTCATCCTCTGATAATTTGCAACAGAGAARTTCCCCCTATATCCTGAAATAATGAGAAGCATATTAAGCTTATAATTGACAAGATTGTATCAACCTGTTCTGTTGTCAATAGCTTGGCGAGTTGATCCTGATTTTGAAGAATGAGTTCATACCATTTTTTCAGTAAAAGGCTTCTCTCCTGACAAGAAAACAYAAACAAATGGGGGAAAAGCTTATAAATTAATATTAGAAATAGTTGATGAACTGAGACATTGAAAATCTTTTCAAATKATAAACCACGTGATATATTTCATGCAAAAAGTAAATTTACAAGTAGGTGGCAATCAAATTTTAAAGTTCTTCTCTTTTGCCCAAAATGGTCCGAAATTTCATACAATGCAAAAATGTAGTCATAAACTACCTACCCAGCCGGGCTACCTAGGTAGAAATCCGGACAGATTTGCAAGCACGCGCAAAAGCTGAGAATTATTTTAAGCTTAATTTACCTTAGCGGTTGTCTTCTTCCAAGTTTGAAACGCTTTATACGATTCCTTGACAGCTAAATCAGCCTCTTCCTCACCCATATCTGCAACTAGGCCTATTTCTTGACCAGTGGCAGGATTGATCACTGGGAACGTTGTCTTGCTGGTCAGCCATTTGCCTCCTACATAACCCTTGTCGCGAAGAAGAGAGAAATCGTTTCGTAGTAATGCCATCGCCACACAACGAGCTTTTGCCATGGACAAGTGCCTAGTGTACTCTGCAAACCACAAAGGAATGTGATTGGCAGATAAAACCAGTGTTAATTATTAGCAGAGAATAAACATTTCCTTGCTAGACAGCTGGGAAGACAGCTGACCCTCCAAGAAAAKACCACAGGGATCCCAATACATTAAAAAATCGCGATGGACAAGTCAAAGGCATGCAACTCCTACTCCCGCCAGTCATTTGTCAGGGGCTGACGGGGCTACCTTGTATTCCATAGGCCTAAAGCTGCACAAATAAGCTGCAGACCTGAGAAAAGCCTCTGGTTGAGAACATTGAGGAGCTCAATTTCTGCATCCAATTAAAACTTGGTATTTCAAGAAGTAGGCATTTGTCCATCTAAAGATCACAAATTATTTCACTGAGGCTGTCAGCCATGGGTAATTTATGAACAAAAACTCTACAACCCTATAATAATTGTAATCTTTATTTATTGCTTGATAAAAAAATGCATATAATGACATCAATGTACAAGTTATACAATAATTGTAGATTCTTCCACACACTTTCTCCATCTCCAAATGTCTGTACGTTTTTGCTTAAACCCCATCATTCACCTAAAAGGAATAAATAATGTAATGTAATGTAATGTAATGTTGTAATGTAAAATATGTAAAATATTTCAATGATAAAAAAATCTAGAGGAGATCACCTATGGTGTTCTCCTCCTTAATTGTAAATAATTATATGTTGTATGTTAATAAATAAAAAATTTAAAAAATAAATAAATAAAATAAAAGGAATAAATATATGAATTATTTGGTACAATTAGTCTACAAAAGGGATTTCTAGATTATGAATGACTTCTCGCATTTTACCCATTCAAGGACCAGGCGGTTGAGGTGGSGCCATYAAATCAATATCTGAGAATTCCCTTGCAGCAAGCACTGCAGCAATAAATATACCAGTATGTTTGATAATTACCCTGWAAAAAATGATAATAATATTTCATCAGCTTAAGCAGAAATATTTTATTTTTTAAARSMAA